TTTTTTTTAGAAGAGAATGCCACACTGACAGTCCGAGCTGTCTTGGCAATTTGATTCCTTTTAGTGAAAAGCATTAGAGAGGCGAGTGCCTTACACCTCCAATTCTGTGGTCTTCAACTACATTTTGCTAAGATCAAAATACTTACTGTCGCTACTTACCCTCCACTGCCTGCGTTAATTAATTGTTTTGAAAATGCGCTGTGTTACAGTTTCCTTGAAAAATATGCAGTTAGTAAAGACACTTTATTCGCAAATGTTATGAGGAATAATCCGGGCTACCAATGTGTTGCTACGGATGATGTTGAGATGCGCATCATTTGCTTTAATAACTGTGATATTGCAGGTGAAAGATGTTGCACATGTGTGGGAGCTTGGTGGTGGGACCAGTCTGTCCAGTCTTCTACGAGCACCACTGTCCAGCAATAACATCCAGTAAGTCAAAAAATTTCACTGAGCGCTGTAAATAAGATCCGATCTGCAATGATTTCCCGTCCGAGATGTTGTTCTAAAAGCCGAAATGGAAAAAAACGGCAAACAGCGTATTGCTGCTGCCTTGTGAATGACGTGTTTCTCATCTTAAGCAGAGTGACTAGGATTGCAGAGCATGAAGGAATTGGCAAGGAAAAACCAAAGTTTCGAAAAGGAAGGCTACGTGGAGTGCTGTTTTACTCACTGCTGCTTTGTTTTGTTTCATCGTAACTTTAAGCAGAGGTTTAACTGGCCACCTGTATTTCTATCCTATCATCCGGGGGGCACAGCACATATATTGCTCCTTCTCTTCCCAGCCGGGGTGAGGCGAGCCAAGCCGAGTTTTAATAATAGCCGATGAAGAAGAATCGGCTATTATTAAAACTCGGCTTGGCTGCTTTCAGCAAAAACTTTCGCAGCATAGATATCACTGCTTCGTATTTTTGGTTGCTTGAATCGTTGGAATAAAAAAAAAAGATCGGAAACTATTATCCAGGAAGTGTTCATTGATGATTGTAATTGATTTGACGGCACCCTTCGAAATCTGGAATACTTATTATACTTTGCTGGGTGATGCTCAGAAGATCGCTATGGACGCATTGCGAGATTTATCCGGAAGGTCACCAGGCCTGTATGACACCTTCATAAACAATAGCAAAATGCGCTTTAAAGATCATCAGGTACCAGAGTCCATTAGCCACTTCTCAGTATAGTCCTTTTTATGCTTTTGTTGCTTGTCTCTCCTCCTCCCGTCTATTTCTTTGTTTTTTAGTGGTATATCAGTGAATAGAGTCAAAAATGGCCTATCGACGGTCCTATCGTTGGCATTCACAGAACAGCAAAAAAAATTTTGCTTTATCAAGTATAGGTAGTGTAAGCCACGCACGGATTTTGTACTCCATAGCTGAAAGGTCCTCACTACAAAATTCGAAATTTTCAGAAACTTCAGCTCGTTGAACCAGATTTGGTTGTAAAATTCAGTTTTACTGTTATAAAACTTGAGCTGAGGCCCTTTTATTAGTTTTAATCAAATGATATTGGATGTTTTAAGAGTGCAGAAAAAAATCTTGCTGATTAAGGCTCAGCAAATATTTTTTTAGTGATGTTTGGACTGCATGTTCCATTGACACGTTTGCAAAATTAATTCTAGGCATACGTTGGGGAATCTACCTACAAGTCCGCTACTGTACAAATGGTTTAGTAAAAATAAGCAGTAACAATGCTTCGCGTACGATTTTAGCACAGTAATTCGAACAAACACTGGGAAGCTGTACTGAGATGAAAATTTTTTGAGGTATTCGAGGGCATTTGTTTAGAACTAACTTTTTTGGATCATTTTTCTGTTGAAGGAGCAGAAAAACAATCGTGTGAAGAGCTAGTGAATTCAAGAGAACTATCAGATTGAGTGCTGAACTTGAGTTTTTTTCTTGAACAATACTAGATTACTCACTTTGCCAATAATTTATAAAATTTACAGGACGCAGAGTTGATAAATCCATTTCCGATACCACTGGTATTAGTTGGCGCGAAGTACGATGAGTTCCAAGTACTTTGTCATATCGGATTACCTTAATCTACTTAGGCTTGCGAGTCTCGGCTTATCGCATGGCGAGTAATGAATGACCCGAAAGCGTTCTATAAATTTCAATGCTTTCTGGCATATAGCCACACGTCTAAACGCTAGCTACCATTATGAACTCCAGAAGAGAACAAGATAAGAATAACAAATTTCAATGCACTTTATGAATTGGTTTTAAAAAAAAGAACAATAAAGAAGCTTCATGCATAATAACGTAATAATTCACAGGGTACGCGTAACAGCTTCGGTAAAAAAAAA